AAACCTACAGCCTTCAGTGGAAAACTCTATTGTCATAAACCCAGCCTTCATTTCCTCCATTTGCAGCTGGCAATAGACAGACAGCCTGTTTTGGATCCAGCTAGCCAATGAGCTTATTGCAGCATTTCTCTGTCAAGTGTCACAGCTCTTTTCCATCTGACAGCTTGTCAGATGCTGATACTTAGCAAGAATGAGTAGGTCAACTTATAAAACTGAGTGGATAAAGTTTGTGTTAGCCCAACTCTGTGGTTTAAACCTGCTGGGGACATGGGGGTAGTGTCCCCAGCTGTGCTGGGGAGTGATGTCCACGTATTTCCAACAGTGGCAGCAGGATCTGCTGGAGAACGTCTACTGAGGTGTCATAGCTACCCCACCACAAGCCTATGATCCATGAAGCCCATCAGTGAATAGCATTCAGATCCTGCAGTTCTGTAGCACACAGGGAGCATTAATCTCTAGTTGTGGGTTCCCTGTAGTTTCTCTCACTGGGACGCTGTTTCCTTGGTTTTCTCTTGTGTCTATTCTGACCCACTCAAAAAAAGAAGAGAATCCTCATCAGGTTTAAGTCTTCATTACGGAGATCATCAAAGCTTTGCTGTTTATGTTGTTGTTGTTTGTTTATGTCTTAACAGACATAAACTATGTATCCTACTGAAAATTTGTGTATTTTCCTCGCTTAAAATAAAAAGAAGTAGCCTCCTCAAACTAGTGACATATTGATTTCATACACTTTTTGACTTTTCCATGTGCCCACTTGTATGCAGTAGACCACTGAAGAGTGAGAGTGCATGACCATACTAAAATCTTTGTTATTTCTTCTGAAGAACTGTCAAGAAGCAGCTGACCTTCAGAATCATATGTGCAAACTTTTCCACAAAATTCCCTTTTTTCGCCAATATAACTCTAATAGGTTTCATGCTTACAATGTTTTTAATAATTATTTGACTGCTATGAAGTTGCAGTTCTTGACTACAAGCTCATTCTCAATTTCTTTACCAGTTTTGAGCCTTTACTTTCTTGTTTCACTTCTCCCTCCTATCTTATGTATTCAGTCTTTTGATAGCTTGAATTTATGGGCTTGGGTTTGAAAATTCAGGAAAAAGCTATGCTCTCCATATGTTCATTCCAGAATGCTTAATAATTCCTTCCAAGCAAAGCTGCCACTGATGCTGATTAAGTATTATGCTTTGATGCCTTCATGACTTTGGAAGTCACACACAATGGAGCTACACTAAAAATTCTGGTGTTACCTTCAGTGATCTCTCTTTATCACTTCTGTTTTGAATGAAAGATACGTTAACTCAGAAGATTTTTAATTACTGTGAAGAAGTGTGAGATGCATTTTCATGCAAATACGTATTTTTATGCCAAATGGAAATCTTGTGCATGTCTAAGATACTCACAATGTATTACTTGTTTTTGAGAGCCTGAAAACCACAGTTTTCATGGGTACACACTTCTAGGTAGTTACTTTAAAGCAGGTAATTTTCTTATGCGTACTGTGAGAATCTCTTGGCCAGAGATTCCTAACATTATGAGGGACACCTGCAGTCAGTATCTGAGATGTTGGTAGCAAGAGATCAAAGAGCTCTGGAAATAATGGCTGCACTTTCCTTCCATGAGAGACTATGGCAGAAATTAGCGTTTTACCACAGAGAGTACCTATGAACATTGAAAATAAAGTGAGTAATTAGGTATATTGTTTGAAATTGAAATCAATGTGGCACTGTTGAGTAACAATATTCTTTCTGTTTACTTTGATATTCTGTGGCAACTACATATGTAATAGAGAACAGTAGGTAATAAGGCAAATTTGTCGTAATTCTTCAGGAATGTCAGACAGGATTAACAGGAACCCTCTGTTCTCTTCTGGTGTAAAAAATATGCAGAAGGCAACACATTAATTCATTGTCTCTGTCACTGTTGAGTATCAGCTGTTAAGCTGCATCATAGCATCCTTTTTGTTTCTGTGACCAGCGGGGATGCTGGTACTGGCTGGCAGCCAGTCTGTCTGCTGTGACCTGTGTGGGAACCACATACCATGTTGACAAAACTGGACTTATCAAATTTTAATAATGTTGGATATATATTTTTTTTTATCTTTTCAAACACTCTCTATCACAATATTTCAGATTTCCAAGGCCATTTAAAATCAGTTTATTTTAAAAGCTGACAAATTTTTCAAATCCAAATTTTTTTAAAAGAACTTCAATTGAGTTTGAGTTTACTTACAGTCATATTGAACAGAATCCTATTATAACATAAAATTTTATAACAGAAACCAGTACATCAGAGGCCGACTGTATAGAAGCAGATGTCAGGTATTTCTGAACAGCACTGACCCAAGTAATATTAAAATCTACGAAATAATTCATGCGAATACATGCAGCTGACAGTTTCCAGCATCATAGCTGTGCATTGCAGCCAGTGGCCTGTTGACTCTATAAAATGTTCTTCTCTGCATATAAGACTACAAAAGCTTTGCGTAGCATAATCTCATCGGCAAGATTTTTTTTTTTTTTTTTTCCCTTCTTTTTTTTTTCCTGGAAATAATTTTGCTAACTGCAAGAATTAACCTAGCTTAATCCTTGGTGTGTTGAATATTACCTGGAGCATAACTATTGTCAGCATCATGCACTGTCATGCACATCTGTTTGTTTCCTTTCTCTTTTTCCGCAATATCAGCCTCCTTTTTTTCTCTCCTGTTTGCCTTGTATCTCTCACTTCAGATTGGAAGCAAGCAGGCCTAAAACAGATGGTCAGTATGTCAAGTGCCCCGCCTTTTTGCTGCTACTTTTATTTCTTCTGGAGATGGAGCATAATTCACCATTCCTGTTGGCTTTCTCTGAAACTTCTTCTGTTTCAGCCATTGTATTGGAGACCTCATGCCTCCAATTGATTTTGTTCATTTTTCTTTTTGTTGCCATGGTATAACCTTCTTCTCAACTTTGTCCATCTTCACTTGTGCTCCTGCACTCTTTTTTCTCCATGAGTTTAAACAGTACCTCTCAGGCAGTGTCATCTCCTGTGTGTTCTCCCATTTCTGTGATTACTGTTGGGTTCCTTTTTGCATCTGTCTTCCACTACCATCCTCCTCTTCCAGTGGACACTTTACCCCAGGTTCTAGCAAATCTGACCATAGAAATGTCAAGACAATGATCAATGAGAATAAATTTAAACAAAGTTGCTGGCCCTTTAGTTGGTGGACATGGTACCTGAATTAAAAAGCACATGTGGTCCCAAATGGTTCAATATGCAAATTGAAGTTATAGGGAGCTCTACCAGGATAAGGAATTCAATCTTTTAGGGCTAAAACCAAGGTTGTTGGACAGCTTCCTTTGTGTAAATGTAGCTACAAAGATTATGTTACAACAGTAAGTTTTTTATTTTATTTTATTTTTTTACAAAACAATATATTCATTATATATCATTGTAACAATATGTAACATCATTGTAACATCATGTAACAATAGGTAAATTTCTCTCTTTAAATGACATCTTTCTTTGCTTTAACAGAGGCCTAGAGTAATGTCATATGCTAATGGGTTTACTTATGTGCAAATAAGAGACTACATTGTACAAGCAGGAGTATGCCAATATTTGTAATTGGTTTTGTTAAAACAAGTCCCTGAAAGAATCTTTACAATCAATCACAGTTCATTTATAAAGTTAACACTGATAATAGCATGTATTTTTTAGTTACACACTTTTTTTTCTCTGCATTGTAGAAATGTTCATTTGGCAGATTTCGGTATCATCAAATAGATTAAAAACTAAGGACTTTTAAAGCATATGTTTTATGTGATATCACTGTTTTACAGTTAAGAACTAATGGCCAAACCTTCACTAAAATTCACTTGTGTGGAAAAACATTGAAAGATCATGAGGTGCATCAGCTAAAAGCAAAATAATTGGCCAGCATTTGTATAGTTAATTGCTTAAACAGATTCATAAACATGAAGAGAGAATATTTCCAAAGAAAACACCACTATCAAACTGTTAAGTATCCATTTTGTATGATTACGCTCTGTCAAAGGTTGGATGAACAGAAACTCAATTGTAACATTTTACATAAAAAATAACAAACCATCCACAGATTCCTCAACAAGTTGTTTACAGATTGTTCCATGTTCTTATTTTTCCTCTGTCCTGTTATGTAGAATGCTGAGACCAATATTAATATATTGTATTTTACATATGCAAACATATACGAATATATGCTTTTTTTTTAAAAAAAAAAAAAAGAAAAAATATATTTTCACACAAAAATGAGGTGTAAAGCAGCATTTGGAGAAAAAAAAAAAAAATTGTATAAATTTGTATCACACAGAAAAATAAGCATAGTCCTAAAGACCTACAGACCTCTGCATTACATTCTTTTCTCTGATCTGATAGACTATAATCATATTGAGATCTATTTAATGTTAATGAATTTAGGTCTCATATCCCCCAGTAAAGTGAGTAAGTGTATCTTTTCTGGTTTCACAAATAATAAGAGTAGTTAAATTGAGTAACCCTCTACAGCATGTCAGTGTCTGCACTGGTATCAGAACAATGTATGTGAGACAGCATAATGCACAATTCCTGAGATTATGTTTTAAATTTATTATGTTTTGGATGTGTAACTATTTGATTGTATGTCCTGAGACATGTTAAAAAAGCTCATTTTCCAAAGCTCCTGCTGCTCAAGTCCTGTCAAGGTTTGTTATGTTATTCCCAAATAAGGAGACACCAAATTGGTAATCACCTTGAAAAGGCTGAATAGTAGATTTTGATGCTTCTCCTCAATCTCAGTCTAGCAAGTTACTCATCTAAAGCAAGTGACTTGTGAAATTTCTGGTGGGGGGGAAAGGCACTTCCATTTCTGTACTCCATGTTTCACTGTCCTGCAAAATTTTTTTGCATCGCTGTTGAAGTTTATGAAGCACATGCAAAAACGTGTACATTTCTTGAATGTCTTCTGGTTCCTTATCTTTGTGTCTTTTACTGTGATGTTGTAGAGCTTGGATCATATGGAAACCTAAAATATTATGACACAATGACTGAAGAAGGTAAGAAATATTTTAGAATCATTCGTATCAGCATTTTTCGAAGCCTTACTTTAAGTGTCTTTTCTGTTTTTTGTCTGTTTGTTTGTTTGTTTTTTCCTGTTTTCAATTTGTCCATTACGGAATGACTCCTTTTTGCATGACTTCATTGGCAGTGTGATCAGTTATCGCTCTTTTTTCAGGTTTTTATTTTCAACATTTCAGCTTTGCTACTTTCAGATAAGGAAATACAACAGAATGTTTTTATTAAAGAAGAATATACATGCAAAACCACACTCATAATTTATACAGCACAATATAATGTAGATTGTGAATCCTTATTTTATGTCATGTTTTACAATGCATTTAGGAAGGTAATTTGTGGATGTTAAAATCACTCAGCTTGAGAACAATTATTAAGTAACTTCAGTTTGCTGTATTATTCAAAAGTAAGGAACGAATTTCAAAACTAGGCATGACTGTTCATGGAGTATTAATTGTAAGCTTAATTGCAATTAATATTCAATTTAAAATCCTGGTTCTAACAATACAAGAAGGAAGTGATTAGAGCCTGAATCAAGGCTCAGTATCTCAGGGAACTTTTCTGCTGATTGAAAAACATTGATGTTTACTGTATTAATTCAGGAGCCCAGTTACTTAATTTCCACCACATTTACATCCAACTGCAGCCAGCACTTCTGTAATTCGGAAGTTTCCCAGACCTGAGACCTGAATATCTATAAGATCAAGGCTCATTGTCCAGCTGTCTGACTACAGTGCTAGACAGAAGTTTTCATGAGTGCTCAGTTTAGTACTCACTGGTGTGCTTGACTATGGAGATAAGCTTGAGGTCTGTAGTTTAACTGCCCATTCCTACTTACTTTTAATTCTCTCTATATATTAATATATATATAATTTAATATATATAAATATATATATATTAATTCTAAATATAAGATGAATAGCTTATGTTCTCTGTAATTATGAATATAGACATGCTCTAGATCATTGTTTAGATTGATCTTGTTGTTAAAAGGTTTTAATAAAACCTTTAGTATATGCCTTCTGGCCATTTCTCCTGGAAAACCAACCAAAAAAAAAAAAAAACCAACAACAACAAAAATAACTTCTGACTCTTTCTCATTTTTTATTTGAGCTGCTTATAATCACATATGCTTACTGTCCTGGGGCCAGCTTCCACCTTTGTGCCTGATACTGGAAGATGATGGTTTCTTCTGGAGAACGCATGACCACCAGCTTGTAGGGCAGCCTGGAAGCACCACCAGATTCATTGTCTGACTCACAGAAGTGGTACTAATATAAGAGAAGATGCTTGAGATGAGATTTTACCAGGCAAACCTTGGTGTATGTGTTGTTTAAACACACTTCTGAAGCACCTGAAATGAGTCATTAACCAAGCCGATTCAGATAAGGCTACCAGAGCTAAAGCTTTTGCAGCACATATCATCTCAGTGTTTTTTACATTCAAGTAGCAAATGTCATTTCTCATTCTAGCCTCAGAGCTGGATATGTTAAGGTCCTTATACTTTATTCCAAAGTGTGAAACCTACCATTTCAAAAACAATTGCTGCATAAGTAGTCTTCAGGTTTTTATAAATACTGTAATGGTAATTAAAAATAGATATTCATGGGAAACTATCCATGCAAGAATGCTATGTACATTATATGCCTATATTATCACTGCGCCTATACTGACGTAATGCTATTAATATTCAATGTCACCTCAGAAAACACTCCTCATGAATAAATAATCAAAGACCATACTGTAGCAGTATCTAAAATCTAGTAGTAAAAATTTTCCAGTAACAAAAAGAAAGAAGGAAACTCTTTGTCTTCAGGAGTATTAACACTGACAAGTCTACAATACAGTTTAGCTTCTCAAATACAATTGTCATAATCATTTTCAAATGCATTTCATAAAGCAATAATGAATAGTGTATCCCAGAAGCTATATTTAGATCAGTGTGCTATATTTTCAACTCTCTATTTGGATATTCAAAAATATAATCCTCATCACTCCACATTACACTTACTCACTTATTTTCATTATCCCTTTCTCTCCTTTTTTTTTTTTTTTTTTGGCTGAGTTTTTTGTACATCTTCTACAGTAAGTTAACCAGTTAGCCACAGTAATGTGTAAATCCAGTTGCAAATTCCATATTTTTGTTTCTAATGCTGTACATCCTTATCCTTGGGCTCCCACCCATACCCTGAATTCTTTCATTCTTTTGATGGAGAAGCATGGGCACATATATTTTTGCTGCTGCATCAGCATAAGCAGAGACAAAATGTGACAGTTAGCTGACAATACCAGATACAGCCTAAAGGCCACTGGGGGCCTTTGTGCTCCAGGTCTTAGGAACTGATCTGTTTTGTTTGCTCTATTTGGTCAGAAGCTGACTTTAGATTAATTGCTGATTAATCAGCAAACAAATGATATTCATCCTCACAAATTGTTTTAAATTAATTACCAATTAATCAGGTCCAACTCAGAGAGACAACATACCCTACCAGATGGGAAAAGAACCTCACATTAATCCTATGTGAAGTAGCCTCCACCAACAGCCTACAACATGACAAAACTGCACATATTTTCATGTAGCGCTTCTGCAGCATTTTACAGTTTAAGTAGAAAGTGCATGAAGCAAATTTCTAAAATTGATCACTTGCAGCCTCCCAGCTTTGTTCCACAGCTGGTCACCAAACAGACTGGTAGGAACAGTTCAGACTGCTCAACAACCACAGATTTGGCATATTATGAAAGCTCAGCTATAGCGCTGATGGCACATATGTGTAGTAATTTACATTTGATCTGAGACTAAGAAGAAGACAAAGGATAGTCTTACATTTTTTAAACCAGTAGATTTCTGAAGATAAATTACTTTTCTGTAAAATCAGAGGTGAAACTGTAGCCCATAATTTAGATTGTAGTCAAATGATTGCATTTTTAACATGTCCATGATCAGGAAGGCAGTCTTCGCCAGCTGATGCCTGCTGGATATGCTCATGCAGATCAAGGTGTATGTTTATTATACACTACTGATTTGTTTGCATACATTCATATATAAGAAATTTAACTTTAAGCTACCTTCTTTCCTAATCACCCAGCCTTGATCTCATGTTCCTTCTGGGTCATGCTTTTTAAAGGTTAAAGAATTGCAGTGTCTGTCCAAGTTCAGCAAATCTAGATTAATTAAGAATTTTCTATAGCTATTATCCTCTTTTTATTATCCTATTTTTATCCATGAAGTCAAACACTGTCATTGATCTACACTCTTATGGCACCTGTTGTAAAAATTATGCTTAGGTAGTAAAACCCATAGCACATAGGACTGTTAAAGAGGAAACAAAAGCTTCTAGTTTCTCCAACAATTAAGAATAACATAAAATTCCTATGGGTTCATTTAGTAATGCCACTAAAAGATAAGAAAAAAAGCACAAGAGAGCATGTATGCCTAAGATGAAATTTTTGAGGCTTTTTGTAAATTTGAATAACTTAAAAATATCTTGTTTCTTGGTTCTTGGTGGGTCTGAAGAAGTTCTGATTTGGTTGTTTGGACCTAGTAGACAAAAAGGGCAGGGATTAGGAAGGAGGAACCACAGCTCTGCTTTCTTTTACATCTCAGTGCCTTCAGGCAGTCTAGTATTACCTCTTTCCTGCAATGGCACTTTTGATAGTTGATTTTATGTCCTTTAATCATTTCCTCACACTGTTTTATTACTTACACTGCATGAATTGAACAGCAGGTAATGATGTAAAACAACATAAGCTGAAGCTTGCATATACTGAGAAATAAAGATAAGCAAAAAAACACTTTCAATTTCAAATGATGAGGTTAATTTTCATGACAGTGACATATAACTGTGGAACAGCCTCCTGAATGAACTGGTGGATGTGTGACTTACAAATGTCAATATAGGAAATTCTTCCTAAAGAAGAGAGACACTTGACAATGTGAAGAAAAAAATAGAAAGGACAACTTCAATTAATTTGATATAAAACAGTATGAATAGCTGTGGAGATCTTTTCAGTTCGAGTTTCTCTCTCAGAGGAAAAAAAAAAAAAAAAAAAAAAAAAGGAAACAATAAAATCTAAACTATTTCAAGCAATCCTAGACAAAAAAAAAAAATGTAGTATCCTCATCAAAGTCTGCATCATTTTAATATACTGTTTCAAATTTGAGTCTTAAATTAAAATAATCCTGGCATAGATGAAAACATAGATGTTTCCACATATGTTTCTCAGAAAAAAATCTCAGTTCCATAGTTTTCATTGCTCACAAAAAATACATTTGGGTATTGTATTTGGGTATCACAGACCAAATTTTCAGATATATGAAGATGAGTTGGAGTCTGACACTTCAAGAAATCCTGTAGCAAACTGACATATGTGTTGTATGAAAATTATGCAGGCACCTCTCAGAATCTATGCATGCATCTGGAGAAGCACTTCTTTAATGGCCCTTGTGTTTCAAATGAAGTTAAGAGCTGGCTTGACTTAGCATTTCAGATTAAAATATTTAGAAATATGGTTTTCCTTTTATTTATATCATTTTTTTTCTTTGTGTCATCTCATATCCCAATAAACTTCATTTCTCTTTCTCTCTTTTTTTTTCTTTAACTTTTTATTTCTTATTCCCCATCTAATTAAAATCTCTGCCATTGACCCTGCACACTGAAATAATGAAGTGGCTTACTATTTAGCATTGTGTTCTATTCTTCAGTACTCTTCTACAGGCAGTTTTACTTTAGGTACCACGTACCAAATAAGACAACTTTTGCAATATGTTGTGAATGACTAATTTATTTATTTATTTGTTTGTTTGTTTGTTTATTTATTTATTTTTGAGCATGATGTGCTTGTGAAAAGATAGGGGCTACTGCAAGGACAATACTGCTTATTAAATCTTTGTGGCATTTTTATTACTCTCCAAGTGATTTGCTGTTGACACAATAATTCTTCCACGTGAATAGTAGCTGCAAGTCCCTGCGCACTGTGCATACATTTCTGCACATATGAAAGCATTGGTACAAGAATTTGAAACATTTTCTTGTGATGGTATTGTTTCTGATAAGCTTCCATTTGCGAGAAGGGAAGAGAGGATTTTTTTCTTGACCAAATATATTTTCTTGCATGTCTTTAATTTTAATCTAGAAGCAGTGAGTCTACCCAGCTACCTGAGTTAATTCGTGACTTCTCTGTACTTCCCATTATTAATCAATCATATGATTCTGTTGAAATATCTTTTGGCCTTAAGCCTGCACTCTTTGTGCTGCAAAACACCAGAGCACGTACAGTGTATTTCTACAACACATAGACAGTCATAAACCACCCACAGAGGCCTTACATAGAAAGTTCAACCAAAGTAGAGAAAGGGGTGAATTAATTTCACTTAATATTTGCCAGCTTTGGCATTGCCTAATTTGGATGTGGTGTTTGGACTCAGTGGTCAACAAAGAGTGACCTGGGACTTCTCTTAGGGGGTAATGAGTTGTCCTGGAGACAGTCTAGATGATGAATTTCATGCTTAACCTCATGGGAGACAAAAACCACCTGGAAGGGTGAGAAGAAAATTTTCATTTGAGAAGCTGGAATGGAAATAATTTATTATGAAGACTTTTTCCTCTCCATCTGAAGTACCTGTTGAAATTACAGTGACATGAATGTGTACAAATTGACAAAGTTAACAAAGGTCACCATGATGCAATATATTGGTTCATCTGAAATTCTGTGACACTGTAGTACTGACTGAGACCTGAAACTGTATTTGTTGTTAATATATCTTTATTCATCTGTATTAATCTTCTCTTTAGTCTCAGATCGTACAGAAGTACTTTTTTAACAGGAACTTTACTGACTGCCTCTTCAAAAGAAAAATAGTTTTTTGTTTTCCATTTCTTCTTTCTTGCAGAATTCTCAGAACAGGAAAAAAAAATCTTATTTCCACTGGAAGGAAAAAAGTTTTAATAAGATAGTGTTTCATAACATGTTTGCTGTTTGGAATGGAAATGGATTGCTGGCACTGATTTATGGACCCTAAGCTGTGGCAAAATTTGCCTCACAAAATGTATGCATTTGAATAATGATAATCCTTCCTTTTAGGAAAATTCAAGGAAAGGGCCTCAATTCTGCATAAGATTGCCAAAAAGAAGTGCCAGGTGGAAGACAGTGAAAGACAGAATGGAGCTGCTAATCACGGTGAGTGCAGCCATGTAGATTTATCACTTACTCCTGAGGGCTTTTTTCACTGTTAAATTTTACCTGAAAATCCTTAGAAGTGAATTTCTCCTTCTACTTCATTTTCATTGTCTTACTAAACATATTCTGATTCCCCTCAGAAAAGAGTATGAAACCCAAGGACAGGATAGGAATTAAGTGCAAGATGAGAAGTTCTGATAAGACATCTAGAAAGCCTCCCAGAATTACTGCAGAGATAAATACAATGCTGATTTTGGACAAGTGCTGAACTGGCAGAAATAAAGAGGCAAAATGTATTTGCAGTTTGCCTGTGAAATTTAATAAATATACTGACTTTTGAAAGGTTGATGCAAGGGCATAATGTGCTGTAGTATTTAATATACCTGTAATATACCTGTTCAACCCACAGATCTAAACAGACCACTGACATGCAGGATTACGCTCTGTACTTTCTCTCTGGCCATGTTACTGAAATTCTTATATACGCAGAGAACAACAGCATTGAGTTAGTTCAAGCCTCATACGATGTTGTTAAACAAAATCCAGTTTGTTCAGAAGTTCTGCAAGATAAATGCCATCCCCACAATCCAAAGGAACTGCTTGAGGTAGCCACGGCTGATTTTTAACATTACCAACTTATTACCTGATGGTGCTTTGCCCAATCCTTTACGTACTGAATGCATGCATTCATGCCATGCATGCATATTTTACCTATCTTAAAGAAGTAGCATTCAACACTTCACAGCTCATGGAACCCTATAAATTTTCTACTGAGTAAGTGAAAAGCTTCTGAAATTTTATACAAATGACTTCTATGTTATAGATAGATGAGATCTTGGATTATTCAGAAATCAAGAACCACTGCTCTAGGATCATATAAATTCTATGTAGTATTACCCTTGTCACAAAAAGAAAGAGATTTCATATTTAAGATTTGATTTGTGAGTCTACTGTTTGCTGAAATACATTTAAGCCCATCTATGTTAGCTGTACAAAATTAGTTTATTATGGCTTGCCATTAAGGATAAGTATTTGTCTTTTACTTCAAAAGTTTCTATTCCAAAAAGAAAAGTCCCTATTATGACTTCTTTTCTCTACTTTACCTTGGCATATTCTCCGCATTAGAAAACAAGATCCAAATGTGTCTGATAAAAGCTGAATCATTTTCTCAGTTGATACTTTTTCTGACCTTGTGCTATGTTTAGATAAAATTTACTTCCAGAATCAAGCAACTGAATGGGACATTCTGTTAATAAACTATAATGCTGGGTATGGGGTTAAGGGACTATGCACATGCACTGAAATAATTACAAATAGTCTGGCACTCTGCTGTGGCTGTGATCTCAGATTTTTAATTTAGAAGAATCTCAGGACAGCAGTAATGTAACTTGACAGCTGTATTTACTTATGTGCATAAGAGCATACCATAAGGAATACTGAACTTGAGTCAGACATTTCTTATTGCTATTCCTCTTAACTTCAAATTGTCCCAGGGATTCTTGGCCATTGACATTTTTATCTAGTACATGCCAAAAGAGATGATTGCTGTTTAGAGAATTCCAAGATAAAAAAAGTAAGAATAAATTTGAATAAATTCCGTGCCATAAACTGAAGGCTCAGTTTTATCCCTTCAATCGCTGTAAGAACTTTTGCTCAAGGGCAATGGGATTCTGTTCATTCTTTTCCAATGTTTTTGCAGAAGAAAGAACTTTATTATAATTCAGATGTAACTTTATGAATTGCAGAGTTTAGTGCGGTATAAAAGTTATCTCTTACTGAATATATCCCTTCATCTGCATTCATTAATGTCTGGGTAGAACACTATACACCACATTTTACCTGAAGTGTTATGTTCATTAAGTTTAGCATAAACAAAGAGCATGAAGTATTGCCAGGGATGTAATTTTTTCAGAACATAACTGCCAGTAGAATAGTTTCTTCAATCACCAGCTCACCCCTCATAAGAATTTTATTCAAAATGTGTGCGGGAGAAATGGAAGCCAGAATTTTAGTCTCTCTCTAAGGCAGGTGTTGGTCCACCATCAGATCTTGATTATTTACACAGACTAAATGCACCAGTTTCACCAATAGATTGTTAATATTCTGCTCTGTTATTTTCTTGTTCTTGTTTATGGATAATGACACAGAAAAAAGTGCAAAAGTAGAAGTTGCAGTAACACCACCAAGTGATTCAGGACCAGTGCAGAATGGAATTGCCCATAATGTTGAAGAAGAGGTTAGTGTCTTTTTCATTTTTAAATTGGCAAATATTTTGCGTGCTTGATTGTACTTTTCACTGGAAGTATGTGTCTTAATTGCAAGAAGTTGCTAATAGGACCCATCTACAATATATTTAATCTTTGTTTACTACTGAACCCAATATATGAGAATAAGGTTTGCCATATATGTGTATAAGGAGGTCTATTTGCACATATATCCCCTGTGACCCTTGCACTTCATTGTAACATAAGATATATTCCAGTAGTCTGAAATGTATTCTTCTAGGAAATATATTTTTGCTTATCAGATAAAATGTTCACAGCCCTGAATAAGGCTAATGAAGATTGCTTGTCTGATTAAAATCACACTGCACAGAGCCTGTTCTCTTGAGAAGGTAGCCTGTCATGTTGAGCTTCATGGTATAGTTGCAAAAAGGGGCTCCAAAACAGGAGCTGTGCACTAACTTTTCCACTCTCCCTTCTCTTATCTTGAGACATTACAAATTAAATTCGACAAATAGAGCGTACTAGTATTTCTCTGACTCTCTTGCATACAGGTAAAATCTATGAAGAAGAAATTATACTCTTAAATTGACTTATTTTAGCATATATATTTTGTAGATAATAACCAGGTAACTGCGTAACTGTGTATATTTCACCTGTGTAGCTACTGAAATAGCTATACAAATTAACTAAATTATTTCATAAATAAGCTGTAATTTTCAAGTATAATTGCAAAACTAGTTCCTCCCCGGCCCCTTTTTAATGACTGTTAATATTTTTTAAATGTTATTAATCCAACCTACATGCTAAGCAGGCAAACAAGTGGAAAATGGTGGTGAGCTGATTTAGCTAAACTTTGGCACTGCTTTTTTAGACTGGGGCAGCAAAACCCACTTAAAGAAAAAAAGTCTTGTTAAAAATAGTCTTTGACATGGGAGCTTGTATAATGCTTTTGTTTGTACAGCTGTATTAAGGCTATGATGACAGAAGAAATTTGCTGCAAGAGATGGCTGAAAAGAGGCTTGTACCATAACATGAGCTTCCTCTTACTAAAAACGGGATGAACTGTCTTGCGTTTGCATACAGCAAAATCATGCAAAAAAAGGAAACACTCGGGTTTTGTTTTGAATTGCCCCTGGCTTAGTATTCAATATTTCTGTTGTTTTCACTTGCTTTTCATTTAAAATTGCTAGTCCACATCAGAGATAATCTTGCCTTGTTCATGACTTGAACAAAATCATTTTAGGTAAAATTCTTTCCTTTAAAGGTTATGCAAGCCATAGAAAAAAAAAAAATCAAACTGGTGTACAAGTAGCAGTGTTTATTTACTTCTGTTGGCTCTTTCCTAAACACCATCATCCCTCACAAGGAGTATAATTTGACAGGATCATGTATATATGAGGAATATGTTGTCCAATTTTGTGCCTCTGTCTGCAAGACTGAGAAAGAACATTGTGATGCATAGTAGAATGAGTCTTTGTACAAAGTGCTTTACAAAGGTAGAGGTGGAGAAGTGACAAGGTGATTATGGCCAGCTGGGGTTAGTACACCAGATAAGAGGAAACAGCTTTAATTCCTCACTGTTCACAGTTAATTTTTGTCCCTGGGAATAGAAATGGAGAATAAAGATCCATCGAAAGAGATGGTTAGTTTCTGATATTCCAAATAATCAAATAATTATAATGAGTCTGACAGAAGAAGAGAGCATAGTAGGCATTAAATCATATTTTCTGTTAATAATATAAGCTGTCCAGACTGACAAGCCACTTACAGGATCCTTGTTAGACCAACAAAACCTTATCCTTAAATAAATGAGTTGAGTAGAATCTACCAAATTAAAAATCTCAGCACTCCAAATACATTTCACTTTAATACTCATCATTTTAAGGTAAGGAAAATTCTTTTGCTTCAGCAAAATAATTAACAAAATCCAAAGCAGTGTAGTTTTATGACTTCTGTTCTCAAAGTTCAATAAAGGATAGCATAGCCTGGAGTAACCTGCTAGCATGTACCTAAATCAATCTGTGGGATGTACAATAACTCTAATAGACTCTAATAGCACTCAGTAGCTTAAGAAGGAAACTAGTCTTGCTCTGCCACATTTTTTTCGCTGAGATTGTTCAGTGAAAACAAAGAAGAAAGAGTAATCTTAAGCAATCACATTTCACAGCAATGTCCATATGCTATCATTTTGCATTGTAATGAAGTGGTTTCTGAGCTTGTTCAGAAATCTGCAAGGTCGAGCAGCCTCATCATTCAAGACAGTATTTTCAATCTCAAACAACTGCAGGATAAGAAAGGAAAATTATTGTAGGAGTACATTACACATTAATGTCTTCCTCCTGTTTCTCCCATCTCCATTTAGACACTTTAAACTTTCAGTCAGGGAAGGTTTGGAACTTTTATGTTAATTTAAGAAAGTATTAGGACATTGTGAAAATGTGCTCTGCTGTATTGGAAGAGGGATACATTGTTTATCATTGTCAAAATGACAAGATGGAGCAAGAAGGGAGGCTTGCAACTGATGGAGGAGTGATTCTGCAGTTTTAGGGCCATCAATCTGAAAGAAAGGATTTTAGGCGTCTGCTGTCACAACAAAAATAGCAATCCCCTAATAACATTTTGAGATGGCTCATGCTGGCTCCCTCCCTAGTGGCCTTTCTAATTTTGTGCTCTTCTAGTGATAACCTGACAGTTGTTGCTACCTCAGACTGTTTCAGTTATTGATATGCTGGAAGCTATTTGGTAATTTAAAAATATGTAGCAGCATTTTTGAAAAGTTGTAATAAAAATAGTCTACGCATCCATGATATATATGTAACAAATAAATAGGTCTATGTGACACTTAGAACTGTACTTTTCTGTGAGATTCTCTGCCAGTTCTCTTCTGTACAGAGAACCTTCCTCGATCTATTGCCTAGTGTTTTGTGCACAGCTTCCTGGTACACCTTCTCAAGCTGTGGCATCACCCTGAAGCTAACACTGCCTTCTCTGAGATACTCAAAGTTAACAAAACACAATGGATCATAGACAAGCAGTTTAAGAACAGAAGGAAAGGGAGTAAAATAAAATAAAAAAGATTCAGATAATAGGAGGAGCAAAGGTCAAGAGGGATGAAAGCAAAATGAAACAAGAACCTTATCTTCTCATACTGACATCCAAGGAAAATATGCTTAGAAAACTTTCAACCAAAGTTTGCTGAAAGGTGAGTCTGCCTGTTTTTAATATGTTTAATTCTCTGGCTGCTTTTGTTGCTGTTCATCATCCCAGCAAGCAGGAATGAGAAAAATACAGAGAAGGACAAATTCAACACCCTTCAGTTTCTTTCTGCTTTGTATATTGACTTCATGGACACTAATAGGATTTCCCCTAATTACAGAAGTGTAGGCAACAGCAGAATCATGCAAACAGCATTCACAAGACCTTCTTCTTTGATTAAGATTATAATTAGAGGATGGGAAACTGGTCATTGCCCTCCTGAGGTTTTTTCTCTAGCTTCTCCAAACCTTATACAGAGACTGTATGCCTGGGAACCACTGTATCTTCAAGACAATGGTATCCATTCTAAGAACAGCTTTGTTCAGGGAAGCAATACCGAAGGTACAGGATAATACGCCTGCTAGACCCCCACAATAGTTTCTCCTTCTCATACCTCCACAAAAACTCTCCCATTACAGCTCAGTCCTGACCTACAAATGCTCCCGCATTTTGATCCTTTTGTGAACAAGTGAAGTATTCACCATTTCACCCTGAGGATGGCATTTGCCTGGATGGTCTGGGAGTAGAATTCAATCTAGTGGCCTGAGTTTTTGGTGATTTTTCCCTATCTTGAAGCAAAAGGAAGTTCTGTGGTATATTTGTAAATACAGTATAAAATTTGCTTCTCTTCAATTTTCCAATTTTATATGTCCAAATATTTATTTTCATGATCCATAAACTTGTTTAGAAAGACTCATAAATTCCTTAAAAAAATAACATTAGTAACTCTGTGTCCCAGTGATGTTATTTTAGAATTTAAGAGATTGGAGACTGTCCATCCTGAAGAATCAAGCTGCAAATATGCCTTTGGGGAAAAAATATTGCCCTGAAAACCGTGTACTGGGATATGGGCGTTTTCACATAGCAGGTGTGTGAGTCAGCACAGGCAGGCAGCGGGAACAACTACAGACCTGCAGCTAAAATGCAAAAAGTAGATGTATTCTCATTACCTCGCTAACTGGGAGATCCCTAAAGCAGCACCCCAGCAGAGGCACCAAGTGGACACACACAAGCAGGCATGCAGGATCAGCTGGACAGGGTCCGTGCTGGGAGATCACCGGCCTGCTCTTTTCACCTGTTTTTACCAAGAGTTTACGCAGTCACAGTTTTTACCACCATGCGGTGGTCTTCACTATGCTTCTTTGATCTTCTTTGTACCAAGGCTGGGAGCTCAAGCGCATCCAATAGGACATGTCCAAATTGATTTAAAGTTAATTAGAAATCATACATTCCACTACTACAAAGAGAATATGCAAATAGATCCATCTTATGTATAAAACTCCTATTCTTTTAAAAGCATGATGTTGAGGAGAGTACCCTTATGTAAAGAAAGTCTCAGGCTAAAACTACAAGAAAATGGAAAAGTTGATTTTATGTTTTATTTAATTTTCATATATTTGTAAATTGAACAGCTCTTTAAAAATACATATCTCTCCAAGTTCCACTAATTATTTTTCCCTGTCTCTTTACTGGTTTCCTTAGAATTTCTTTTTCATCTTCACATTTTTTCTTGATTCTCATTCTTTCCTCCTTTCCTTCTTTTTTCATTGAACAAGGCTGAAATACTCCACAATAGAGAGTCAAGGGCACTATTCATTAATGATTTTCACAAGCTTTCCTGAACCAGAATGAATTTTACTTCATTTCCTTTTTTGTTGTTGTTTCATTTGTCTCTTCCAAACTCCACAGTCTTGCTTGCTTCTCCCTAGGCCCTTAATTCCATTCCTCCTATTCCACTCCTATCCAGGAACCTCAA